CTTACAAAAACATGAACTGGGGTGTGTGTGTGAACAATGCAGAGAAGGTATGACGCCCTTGTTCCCGTGGGTTTGACTCTCTTTTGGACTGATGTCTCAGTCATATAGTCTAGAAATGGATAGTTTTACCCAGAGAGAAGGCCACCTGGTATTGGGGAAGGGACAGTCTCTAAAGGTGGGCAGCCTGAGTTCTGAGTAAGCCAGTTGTAGACAGAGTAGGCACACAGCTTTGAGCCCTAAGTCAGGAAGATCCCCTGGAGAAGGAAATCCACTCCAGCATTCTTGTCATGAACAGAGGAGCTTGGTGGGCTACATTTCACAGGGTCACAAAAGAGTCAGATACAACTTAGCGCCTAAAAAACAATAGCAACATACAGAGTAGGCAGAGTCCTTGGCAAACATACATTAACTAAGTGGAGGGTATCATGCAGCATGGGGCTTCCTAGGTGGTACTAGTGGTAGAGAACCCACCTGCCAATGCAGGAGACATAAGAGAGGTGGGTTTGATCCCTGAGTTGGGAAGATCTCCTGGAGGGGGGCATGGCAACCCACTCCAGTATTCTTGCCTGGAGAGCCCCTATGGACAGGGGAGCCTGATGGGCTACAGTCCATGGGGTCGCAAAGAGTCAGACACGACTGAAGCAGCTTAGCATGCATGAACCTGTTAGCATGGCATTCTGAGAACGGTTAGGGATTTGGCAGCCAGAGGGATGAGACTGCTCTCACCTCTGTTACTTGCTGTTTATATGACATACGGGAGCAAGTTACTTGACTAGTCTAGGACTTGTTTTTCCTCATCAGTAAAATGGGAACAGTCCTAGTAATTCTCTTCAAGGGTTGATACCAGGACAAAAAGTGGATTTAAAAATGTAAGCAAGCTGCTCAGTAAAGCATCAGATACACAGTAAATTTTTACCTTTTATTATTTCCCTAAAGGTAGGTTTTAAGATTGCGCTGAGTCTCAGGGACTTGATGAGTTTGTGCTATGTGCCAGACACTGGGCTGGCACTGGGGGTACCACTGTGGTCCAGGCAGCCCTGGAGTTAACTCTAATGGCAAAGCTCCACTCTCCATACAAGTCAGAGTGGTGGGGGAGGGTTCTCCGGAAGGATGGGCTCTTTCCTCTTTAGCCAAGAAATAGGTCCAAAACCCAGAGCCAGGGCAAGCCCTGAGTCAGCTACAGAGTGGAAATCTGCCTCTTTGAATTTTACTGGGAATAAATCAGGATGTCTGGGTGGTGGGTGGTGAGATGAGATATTCCATGCAGAAGAGGACAGTCACAAGTGAGGGAACCAGGCCTGAGGAGCTGGGCCAGCCCCCTGGGGGCCTCTTTTGTCAGTGGCTCTGGTAGGAGTAGAGAGAAGCTTGGGTGGCTGGCCAGGTCTGTGGAAGCCAGAATGTTTGCAGAGACTCTTCATTTCCTATTTTTTCCCCCTTGTTTCTCCCTGCAGTGTTTAGAATAGTTTTGAAAAGCTCTAGTCAAGGACAGAGTTGTTGACTTGCCAGGATCAGTGTTGGAGAGCAGCGTCCTTGGGTCCTTCCAGGTGGTGACAGCAGGACACTAAGAGGGAGTCCTGAGTTCAGCAAGCGGAGGTGTGTGGTCATTTGGGGGCGGTGGGGCAGCTGGCCTGGTCAGCCTTCCTCCTCTGCAGAGAAAGAAATCTAGGAAGATAGTGGTCACGGCTCTGCCCTGGTTTGCCCTTCACTGTATCCTCAGGGTGTCGGTGCCTGGCACAATCTGCATTTCTTCTAATATCAGTCACTGATTGCAACATGCTTCATTAATTCATCCATCACTAAGAAAGATGTTCCTGATTAATTATAAGATGCCATTGGTTTTTAAGAGTCACTGATTTCAGAGAAGCTAAATATGAAAAGAAATGAGTATCTTAGAATTAATAAAATGTGGTTGTAAGCGTCCAGTAAATATTTATTAATTGGATGAATGAAGCATACAAATATTAGAACCAAGGCAAGGGGATCCAACCAGTCCATCCTAGAGGAAATCAGTCCTGAATATTCATTGGAAGGACTGATGCTGAAGCTGAAACTCCGGTACTTTGGCCACCTGATGTGAAGAGTTGACTCATTGGAAAAGACCCTGATTATGTGAAATATTGAGGGCAAGAGGAGAAGGGGACAACAGAGGATGAGATGGTTGGACGGCATCACTGAGTCCATGGACATGAGTTTGAGTAAACTCCATGAGTTGGTGATGGACAGGGAGGCCTGGCGTGCTGCAGTCCATGGAGTCTCAAAGAGTCAGACATGACTGAGCAACTGAACTGAACTGAGGCACACAAGAGAGAAAGGACGTTGGAAGGAAAGAGAAGTATGAAGTGGAGACAGTCCTGTAGTGGTGCGGTGCACCTGGGAACCTGTGAGGGTTCAATGTGTCTGAAGCCTGATGTGAGAAAGAGCAGGACTGTAGTAGATGTAGCTGGATAGGAGGCAGAGGGCAGTTCCTGGAGGGCCTGGGATGCTGTGCCGAGGGCCTCAGCCGATGGTTTTCAGTCCTTAGGAAGAACTCAGTAGAGCCACGGTTGGGGGAGGTCGAGGGCCAGGCAAGGATGATCTTTGCTTGACACAGCGCTGCTGTGTTTTGATCTATTTCAGTTTCCTTCGAGTAATGGCTTGAAGAAGAAATATCCCTGTTGGATGTTTGAAGGAATGCATGGTTTGAAAACTGGTGCCACTGATCATGTGGGCGAGGAGATGAGAAGGCAGTTAGGCTGGAGCCTGGGAGTTGGTCTCGGAAGCTCAGAGGAGGGTAGCGCTTGTTCCTATTCCAGCTTCTACCTTCGCCTCTCCAGCTGCCCGTGAACCATAGGGACCACATGCCGTCGGGGGATCATTGTGAGCTAGACAGAAGCCATCATGTTTAACGAAGCCATTTTTAACAGGAAACACCTGCTGGCTGACTTCGTTTTAGAATCCCCAAGTATGATCTTGCTGAGGAAACATTACCTCTTTGAAGTGAAAGGGTATAGAACGCTGCTCTGGTTGAGATTAGACCCTGGGCACTGAGGCCACCCTGAGCTCACCTAGGGGGCTGTAGCATGTTCTCCAGCATACATGTCTTGGGGGCTTGTTCTTATTTAAAACGCCAGTCTGGAAAATGAAATTCTCTGTGAGATGTCTGCATCGTGGGGGCTAATCTGAGCAAAGGGACCCAGAGCGGCAGTGAAGGCCAAGGAATTCCTTGAGTGTTTGCTGGTCAGGTTTCCTTGTAACTTGCAAGGGGTCTGTAAAGAAAACAGATTGTTTAACAAATTCCTGATCCTGTCTCCCTTGAGGCTCCTTCTCAGTCCCATGGATGCAGTTTATTTGCCTCTTCTCCAAATCTGTGCTGTGAGCTGTTAAGAAGAAAAAGAGAACGTACAGATGTGGGATTGTGGGTTCAGGCTGTTCTTCAGTCGTGCTGCCTCATCTCTTAATTTCTGAAACCTTTTTGCCCATCACTGTAATGTGCATGATTATAGCAACTTGCGTTTACTGTTCAGAAGTGTGTGGACCTAGCGTTAAGAGAAAATTTACATATTCCTTGGAGTCTCATCTTAATCACCTATAAAATAGACACTCACTGTCAGGGTGAGGGGGGAATTGGATGAAAGCAGGCAAAAGGTACAAACTCCCAGTTATAAGATAAATGAATACTAGGAGTATAATGTACAATGTGATAAATGTAATTAACACTGCTGTATTTGTATATGAAAGTTAATAGAGTAGATCCTACGAGACCTCATGACACAAATGTTTTTCTGTTTCTTTACTTTTCAATCTGTATGCTGCTGCTGCTGCTAAGTCGCATCAGTCATGTCCGACCCTGTGCGACCCCGTAGATGGCAGCACACCAGGCTCTGTAGTACCTGGGATTCTCCAGGCAAGAACACTGGAGTGGGTTGCCATTTCCTTCTCCAGTGCATGAAAGTGAAAAGTGACAGTGAAGTCGCTCAGTCATGTCTGACTCAGTGACCCCATGGACTGCAGTGTACCAGGCTCCTCCATCCATGGGATTTTCCAGGCAAGAGTACTGGAGTGGTTGCCATTGCCTTCTCCATCAATCTGTATGAAATGATAGATATTTACTAGATGTATTGTGATAATCATTTCTTAAGGTATGTAAGCCGTATCATTATGCTGTGTACCTTGAATTTAAACAGTTCTGTATGTCAATTATACCTTAATAAAATTGGAATAAAAATAGTCTCACCTTGTATTGTCACAGTAAGTAGAGGGCCTCTATGACTTCCCTGGTGGTTCAGACGGTAAAGCATCTGCCTACAATGTGGGAGACCCAGGTTCAATCCCTGGGTCGGGAAGATCCCCTGGAGAAGGAAATGGCAACCCACTCCAGTACTCTTGCCTGGAGAATCCCAAGGTCGGGAAGATCCCCTGGAGAAGGAAATGGCAACCCACTCCAGTACTCTTGCCTGGAAAATCCCATGGGTGGAGGAGCCTGGTAGAATACAGTCCATGGGGTCACAAAGACATGACTTCACTCACTCACTCATGTACTGTTTAAAGTGCTTATTGGCATGTGATAGGTGCTCAGTAGATAGTTTTTAGAATGAATGGCTGACTGGGTAGATGAGTTCCTTTTTAGCACCATGGCCATTGTCCTTTTGATTCAAATTCAATGAGGAAAAAATGCATATCTGTTGCTTCCAGATTCTCAGTTCTACAACCCTTTATTTATCCTCATTGTACTTTTCATCCAATATCATGACTTTGCTTGAATAACGGTGAAGCTTGTAAATGCTCATCATCTGACTCCCTGCAGAGAACAGAACCTCCGTGTCTGAGGGCATGCCTACCTGTTCGCCCACCACCTCCCTCAGTGCCTGCTCGCACACCAGCAGCAGTGAGCATCTTTCTTGGATTAATGAATAATCATCCAGTTCGTCAGCTGTGCCCCTTCATTTCCACTTTCAAGATGTCCCGTGCTCGACTTTGCAGACCTGCTTGGTCTTCACGTGGTTTTGTCCTTGACCCCACAGGTGGAGGGATAGCAATGCCCGGTGGAGATGAACCCAGGAGCTACTATGTGGGCGTGGACGTGGGGACCGGCAGTGTCCGAGCAGCCCTTGTGGACCAGAGGGGTGCCCTCTTGGCTTTCGCAGACCAGCCCATCAATCAGTGGGAGCCTCAGTTCAACCACCATGAGCAGTCGTCCGAGGACATCTGGGCCGCATGCTGCATTGTCTCAAAGGTATGGCCATTACTCTGGCATTCTATCCTTGCATGTGCTTCCTTCCCCCCGCCCCTCTGCTGAGTGTCTCGTGTGTGTCCATCTGGTGCCAGGAACAACATAAGGGTAACTTTAGACACTGGCTTTGCCTTTTGGGAGCTCAGGGTCTGTGGCAGAGACCAGCAGACAGCAGGGATGTGACATGAGAGGTGTGGGAACAAAGTGACTGGCTGGAGCTGAGGATGGGCCCAACCCAGAGGGGCTCAGGGTAGACGGTGGAGGACTCAGAGCTGCAGTCAGAGGACTTGGTTGGGTGTGACTGGAGGTGAAGATGTCACTGATGACCACAGCTCACCTCTACTGTGCCTTCAGCTGTGCCCAGTTCTGTGTAAGACAGGTTAACCTGCATCATAGAGGGGAATCCTTGCCATGACCGTATAGAGGCAGTGCTGTTAACACTGCCTCATTTCATTGAGGCAGAAACAGAGGCACAGAAAGATGAGATAACTTACCCATGCTCATGCAGTTAGTAAGGAGGAAAGGCAGGGCTGGAACCTAAGCAGTCTGATTCCAGTGCAGCACCCTGAGTCACTGGACCGTCCTGCCTTCCAAGTGGACAAGTGAGGGGAACCTCTTTTGTTTGGGGGAGCAGCATATGCAAAGGCAAGGTGGGCTCTGAGAAAGGAAGGAAGTTGGGCAAGACCAGTGCATCTCTGAGTTGTAGCAGGTAGGCATTTTTCTTGAGTGGCCTTTGTTTGCAGTCAGCTTGCTGACTTGGAAAAAAGTGACGCTGGGTGAGAATTGTTCCCTTTTAGTTTCACTTGACTGGTTTTATATCCCAGTAATCAGGAACGACAGAGAGGTTTTTGTCTTTATTTTTTTTTTCCAGAGGGAAAAATAAAGACCTGGGTTCTGTCTTCTCCCTGTTCCTAGTTTAGTTCCTTAAATATTCATGATGGGTTTGGTAATTTGCAGATGGACAATTCACCATTCTGTCTGTATTGATCAGTCTGTTTAAACTTTCATGAGCTCAGGGCTGCTGTTAGTGCCCCCAGAGAAGAAGGCAGGGAGAGGAGGCTGGGGGTGGGCAGCACTGGAGCATGATATAGGAATAAAAGGGAGGCACGTCTTTGCTTCTGCCTGTTTAATTTTCTTCCTCCCTCCCCCTCCCACCGCCTGCCTTGGTGAGAATCCTCTACTCTTTGCCCTTGGGTCTCCTTTGTCCTTCCAACATAGAGCCTTTCTTGCCATTAAGGAAATTGTCAAGAAGAAAATATAATCCCCTGATGAAAAGCTACTTTAAAACAGGTCTGCTCTAAGTACAGCTTGGTTTAATGTTGGATTTTTAATCATCTTGCAGTGGCAGCCACCACATTATCTGTTTTGAGCCCCTTCAGCCATGTGAGTGCTCTGGCCTTTTGTCCTTCTTGAGGCTGTGCTAGAGTAAACCTGGATAACACTATTGGGTCTTAGGCCCTTCTCTCATGGGGCACGGCCACGTGGCCATGTGTTCGAAGCCATGGCATAAGCATGACACATCTGCTCATAGCTCATCGCTGTGTGAGGTTGAAGGAGGGGAAGCATGTTTATATTAGAGAAGTAACACAGCAGAGAGCACAAATTCTAGAGGTGGACTGCCTGGATTGACATCCCAGTTCCAGCATTTATTAGCTTGTCATCTTGAAAAAATTGCTTTTGGTTTCTTGCTTGAGTTTCATCATCTGTAAAATGGGAATGATGACTGTACCTATCTGCTTTGGGTTGCTGTGAGGATTAAATGAGTTAATGCATACAAAATGTCATGACAGTGCCTGGAAATGAGTAAGCACTGTGATTCCTATGGCGATTGCACTTATGACAGTAACAAAAATGAGTAGATTATGGAGAAGAATGAATTTGTAAGATAGAATGTTGAGAAGTCAAAGTCAGTCAGGGAGGTACCTCATGGGGAATAGTCACTCCTTTTCTGATTAGGGTTCTTTCTATGTAAGATTTTGAGAAGCAATGATCTGGGGCAAAGGGTGACATAAAATACATCCTGACCTGTCTTGTTCTGAAAAACTTAAGGAGCTCAAGAGCTTGAGAGCTGTTGTATTGTTTCCTTTTCTCTAAGTTGCTCACATTGCCTGAGATGGTTTTCCCTTAGTGAAATTAATAAAAACAACAAGAACAACAGCAGCAACAGTAATAAGAGTTACCACTATTATTAGTGATAGTAATAATAACAATAATAATAATAGTAATAATAATGATGATGGCAACTAACATTTCTTGGGCACTAGTTCTGTTCCAGGTATCATGCTGAACACTTTATACCAATCACATCTTGTTATCTACACAAAGATCTCTTTTTAAAAATTGAAGTAAAAAAAAATAGAAATTGAAGTATAGTTGATTTACAATGTTATGTTAGTTTCACATGTACAGCAAAGTGATTCAGTTATACACAACACACACACACACACACACACACACACATATAATCTTTTTCAGATTCTTTTCCCTTATTGGTTAGTACAAAAATATTGAGGATAGTTCCCTGTGCTATAGTGTAGGTCCTTGTTTGTTACCTATTTTATATATAGTGAAAATGAGGTCACTAAGTTGTATCCAGCTCTTTGCGACCCCATGGACTGTAGCCCACCAGGCTCCTCCATCCATGGGGTTTTCCAGGTAAGAATACTGGAGTGTGTTGCCATTCCCTTCTCCAGGGGATCTTCCCAACCCAGAGATCAAACCTGGGTCTCCCGCATTACAGGCCGACTCTTTACTGTCTGAGCCGCCAGGGAAGTAGTGTGTATATATTAATCCCAAACCCCTAATGTATCCCTCCCCCACTTTTCCTTTTGGTAACCGTAAGTTTGTTTTCTGTGTTTGTAGGTCTATTTCTATTTTGTATCTAAGTACGTTTGTATCTTTTTTTTTTTTAGATTCCACTTATAAGCAATAATATGCGTGGAATCTTTTGTCCTTTTCTGTTTGGCTTAGTTCACTTAGTAAGACAGTCTCTAGGTCCATCTTTATTGCTGCAAATGGCATTATTCTTGCCTTTTTTCTTTTTTTTACTAAATAATATTCCATCGTTTATATGGACCACATCTTCTTTATTCATTTCTCTGTTGATGGACATTTAGGTTGCTTCCCTGTCTTGAGTTCTATGTCATCTCTGGTTTTAATGGCTTATGTTCCTTCTGGGGGGCTTCCCAGGGGCTCGGTAGTAAAGAATGCACCTGCCAGTGCAGGAGATACGAGTTCCATCCCTGGGTCGGGAAGATCCTCTGAAGGAGGAAATGGCAACCTTCTCCAGTATTCTTGCCTGGGAAATCCCATGGACAGAGGAACCTGGCAGGCTACAGTCCATAGGGTCACAAAAGAGTCAAACACAACTTAGTGACTAAACATTTCTTTTGGAGCCACAAATCTTAATCACCTCAACAAGGCAAGACGATTGCAAGTTTAGTGTATAGTAACATATTCCATTGGGAAGAAGATGGTAAGCTGGAGGTGTCATTTAGTCTTCAGATATTTATTGAGCACTACTGAGTGCTATACTCTTTGCTAAGAACTGGAATATATATGGGAGAGGGGGCTACAACAAGTTCTCTGCCTCTAAGGATGAAATAGTTCAGTTGTATGGGGAAAAAATAGCCACGAAGTCAACAAAGTACCATTTTTTCCCCCCTAAATTGTACCAGCTGAATGAGTAATATATCCTTCGAGAGAGAGAGAGCGAGCGAGCAGAAGGAGTCACACATGTGGGACTGAGCAATGATGTCACCCTCCTGACATTCATAGAACCTGTGTGGTTTATAAAGCATGTTCCTAGCCACTTGATTGTCCTAGGAAGTGGGTAGGGGAGGGATTGTTCCTTCCATTTTATAGTTGAAAAGAAAAACTGGGATCCAGAGAGTGAAGTGACTTTTCCTAAGTCACCCAGAAAGTGGGGGATGAGCCTGAAGTCAGGTCATATCTCTGCATTCCTTCCATCTCCAACACCCCATACTTTCAGCTTTTGTTTAGATCAGCGCTGGAATGTAACCTCCTCCTAAATGTCCTTCCCCTGTGATTGTTCTCCTTCTTGAGCTGGAATGACATTTTAATGCTAACCGGACAACTCTTCTATAGCCTCAAACTACTTATAGCCTCAAACTACTCTAAGGATAGAACTCAGAATTCTTAACACGCCCTCCAGGCCTTGCATGGTTTGGGTTTAGCCTGCTCTTCTGGTTTATCTCATGATCCTTCTCTCAGTTCTGCCTCCCACCTACATTTTCCTTCTGACCTGTCTTCACACATGCAGTGCTTCCTCTTTCACACATACTCTCTCTTCTTCCTGTGCACTCTTCCTGCCTTCAGCCAACGTATTTCACTCCCATACATCCTTAGATCCATAATATCCAATATAGTGGTCACTAGCCACGTCTTTTCATACTGTTCATGGGGTTCTCAAGGCAGGAATACTGAAGTGGTTTGCCATTCCCTCCTCCAGTGGACCACGTTTTGTCAGAACTCTTCAACATGACCCATCCATCTTGGGTGGCCCCACATGGCATGGATTAGTTTCACTGAGTTAGACAAGGCTGTGGTCCATGTGATCAGATTGGCTGGTTTTCTGTGATAGTGGTTTCAGTGTATCTGCCCTCTGATGCTCTCTCTCAACACCTACTGTCTTATTAGGGTTTCTCTTACCTTGGACGTGGGGTCTCCCCTCACGGCCTCTTGCTGCTCCAGTACCATTACTTTGCCAACAAAGGTCCATCTAGTCAAGGCTATGGTTTTTTCAGTGGTCATGTATGGATGTGAGAGTTGGACTATAAAGAAAGCTGAGCGCTGAAGAATTGATACTTTTGTTTTGTTTTTTTCTTCCCATTTATTTTTATAAGTTGGAGGCTAATTACTTTACAGTGTTGTAGTGGTTTTTGCCATACATTGACATGAATCAGCCATGGATTTACATGTGTTCCCCATCCCGATCCCCTCTCCTGCCTCCCTCTCCATCCCATCCCTCTGGGTCTTCCCAG